GCACATGCTGATCTTTAACGGTGTCCTTAACAATCACTCTCATTCTATTTGTGAGAATGTAACCTACAGGACTCGAAAGCTATATGCAAAAGAAAACATGATACAACTTTTTTTGGAATCAAACTTATTAATTCTTTGGTAAATGCAGAGGGATGGTTATACATTTTTAAAATTAATGTATTTACTTTATATCCCAATAGTAGCTTCTCTTCCCTCATCTCCTCCCAGTTCTTCTCTCTCACCTCACTCATCCCCCTGCCATTTTCTCCTCCTTCCTTTCTTCTCAGAAAAGGCTCAGAAAAGGGGAGGCCTCCCATGGATGTCAACCCACCTTGGCATATCAAGTTTCAGTAGGACTAGGGAAATCTCCTTTTGTGGCTAGACAAGGCAGCCCAGTTAGGGCGAAAGGGATCCAGAGAGAGAGTCCCTGCTCCTGCCGTTATAGGAGTCTTACATGAAGTCCATGCACCACAACTGTTACATATTGCCAAGGGCCTTGGTCTGTCCCATGTATGCTCTCTATTTAGTGGCTCAGTCTCTTGTGGACCACTAAGTTCCCAGGTTAGTTGATTCTGTATCTTTCTTGTGGTGATCTTGACCTCTCTGGTTCCTTCAATCCTTTGTCTCCCTCTTCCATAGAATTCCCTAAACTAAACTCTGACTGATGTTTGGCTGTAGGTCTCTGCATCTGCATCTGCATCAGATGACAGTGATGCTAGATGCCTTTCTGTAAGTATAGCAGAATATCATTAATAGTGTCAGTGTAGGCACTCTCTCATGGGATGGGTCTCAAGATAGGCCAGTCATTGGTTGGTCATTCTTTCAATCTCCGCTCCATCTTTACTCCTGCACATCTTGTTGGCAGGAAAAAATTGTGGGTCTAAGGTTTTGTGGCTGGGTTGGTATCCCAATCCCTCCATTGGAAGTCTTTTCTGGTTGCCAGAGATGGCCCTTTTGGGGTTTGCATACTTCATTGCTGGGAGTCTTAGCTAGGGTCACCCTCATAGATTCCAGAGAGTTTTCATTGTCATAGTCTCCAACCATACCATCCTGATTGTACCCAATCTCTTCTCATAAAACTTTTTTCATAGACTTTGTGCCTGAGATGAAAACAATGTGCTTGACACATTCCAGATTTAGTTTACTTCTATGTGGAAATCTAGGCTTAGAAAGTCGAAGTGTGGTTTACATGTGGTTACACACCTGGATCTAGGTGCTAAGTTTAATGCAGGTGTGCATTCCTTCATATTCGATTTGTTCTTAAACAAGCCTGGCCTTGTACTTGTGATCTGCCTTTTTTAGCATCTTGAGTAGTATGAATATAGATAAGGTGTGTGACACTACACCCAACTTTCAAAATTTGATATTGTTTTTTAATACTGTACCAATCTTTTACTATGAAAGCCTCAGGAATTCAGGGGGTACAGTTGTATACGTTTTAAATATAGTGACTCATCCAGTCCTAGGACAATTATTTACATTATAGATGAGGGAACTGATAAGGATCTAGTCCTAGTCGCATAGTAAAGCATTAGAATGAGATTCCAAAGCATGTGATATACAGTCATGAACAAGGGAGAATTCCGCAGGGCTGAGTGTAATAGATGAAAAGGAGGGAAAGTAAACTGCATGTCAGGTACAGGTGAGGGCTGTGGGTTTGCACAACACTGTATACCAACTAGCTGTCTGAAGGAGACAGAGCAGATGTGTGTGAAAGCCTCAAGATAACACCCTTAGTTTATGCTTAGCTTCTCAGTGGGAGGAGGAAAAGATGTACTGGTTAATGGATTTAGGACCAGGTCCCCTTGCCAGCATATCAGCCTTCTAGGATATAGACAATCTCAAATTTACTGGGTTTGTGTTTTGCTTCCTTTCTGGGTTTTTTTTTTATTTTTTTTTTACTACCTTTTTTTCTTTCTGCTTTCAACCAACTGTGCTTCTTACCTATTTCACAGATTAAGGTAAAGATGTCAAGAAACCATGTTAACAAAGTGATAGAAGTGTTCCCTAACATCGTATGCACAAACTTCAGTCTGTTCTGTCAGACCCTCTGAACCTGTCCAGTCTCCTATCAGGTTTGTTTTTCTCCAGCTAGTTCACCATTATAGCTCATATTTTGGTGTCCTCTCTGTTTCCTTGTCCCACTTTTTCCTGTGTTTATGTTGTCTACCACTTTTGTTCAAATTAGATCCTTCTCAGCCCAGGCAGTGTAGGCACTGTCACCTTCATCAGCTTCTGTAGCTCTGTCTCTCTGCCTCTCTGCCCTTTATATCCATTGAGTACACTTTTTTTTTTTAACTGTTCAACATTTGCAGATGCTTTATTTTATTCTGTCTATCATCTGTTCTGTGTCAGAGTGACTTTCTTTTTTTTTTTCTTGGATATTTTATTTATTTACATTTCAGATATTGTCCCCTTTCCCCATTTCCCCTCCCTAGAACCCCCATCCCATCCCCCTTCCTCCTTTATGCTTTTATACCATTTTGACTACATACACGTGTTTAGGTCGGTTCTAGGTTGAGGGTCTAGCAATACAACAGATGCCAGTAATCAAGGAACAAGCAAGACAATAAACACCAATAGTCAAAGAAAAAGCCAGGCATTAAACCCAATTATGTGAACACTCCCGTGATCACTCTTTCTAAGGGCTTATCAGGATGACCAAAGTATCTGAGCCAACTTCCCTGTCCTAGCCCAAGGTCATTTTCATGTCTGAAGCCTACTTCCTTGTTCTAGCCTAAAATTTAGTTTCCTACCTGAACTTACTTCTTTGTTCTAGCCTAATATTTAGATTCCTGCCTGAGATTACTGACATTAGGCTGACACTGAATACACCATTAATCCTTACTCTAGTACTTAACTATTTGGACACATGTTAAAACGACAGAAAAGCAAACAAAACACAGACCGTCAAAGCTAAGTGCAATTTTGTAAAGGATGTAGAAGTTTTAATTTTATTGTAATAAAGGAGAAGATATTGTAGTTAAGAAAACATAGGAAGCAAATTGGGGATTTGGGGGAACTTTCATTCCTTAAGAAGAAGTTGAAGGTGAGCTGCATGACTTTCTTCTTAAAAATAACTTTTATCTATATTAAGACCAACTTTATTATTCTCATTGTTCAAAAATTTAGGAGTCCTACGTTCTACTGTTGACTTTTAACATGTACTGAGGTTGTTGCTGAGAAAGTAAATAGTGGGGCTGGAAGGATGCTCTCAGTCTGAACAATAAAGTGTTCGCTTCTCAAGCATAGGAACTGAAGTTTGGATCATCCATCATCATCCATATAAAAAAGTGTCTATGACCCCCAGCTATTGGCGAATGCAAAGAACTTATTGGTCAGCCAGCTTAGCCAAACTGATGAACTTAGAGTGTTTTAAAATGAGAGTAAGTAGTTGAGGGAGACATTTGACATTGATCTTTGACCTCTAAATTCTTCCTCACTGACACACACATCTGCACAGCCACATGAACAGTCATACATCAAGTAATTAATGAGTTATTTTGAAATTGTCAAAGGATCTTATCTTTTTTACTTGTGCTTGAAGAAACATTTTACACAGCACATAAAAGCTTCTGCCATTTTAAACATTAAACATGATGCTAGGTAGATTTATTCCTTTATGCTCAGAGCTCAGAGTCCCAAAGTAGAGAGGACTGAGTACTCCAAATAGAAAGGATATTTGGGAGGAACTGCTTTTCAGCCCAGAACCTATACTACCACCATGAACTTTTACTTTATGCGAGACAGCTGGCTCTGTTGCCATATATTCAGGGAGCATAGTAAGTACTCTGTTCCTCTTCTTGGTGATATCATGGCACTTTTCCAAGGAGGAAAGCATCTCACTCTCAGTACTGAAGGCTTTTCCTACCCCTACCCCTCCTTTTTTCTGGAATTTTTCTTTTCTTTTTTTCTTTTTTAATTTTTTTAAAAATTTATTTAACGTATAAGTGCTCTGCTGCATATACATCCATAGGCCAGAAGATGGCATCAGATCCCATTATAGATGCTTGTAAGCCACCATGTGGTTGCTGGGAATTGAACTCTGGACCTCTGGAAGAGCAGATAACAGCTGAGCCATCTCACCAGCCCTGGAATTTTTATTTTCAAGACAGGGATTCTCCACATAGTCCTGGCTCTCCTGGAATTTACCGTCTGCCTCACCCTCATTCCTCTCCATGCATTATTCAGTGGTTAAAGAAGGGGAGGTCTGTAGAAGTTAGGCTACCTGGTATTTCTTGGCAAGCCATAGCAAATCAGCTACAGTAAATTGCTGAGTGCTACTGTGGAACATTCTCATTAGAATCATCTAGAGATGATACCCAAGTTGCACCTTAAACAACATAGATAGAAAAAAACAGATAAATAGCAAAACATTATCAGACTGGACATTTACAATGTCTAGCAGGAATGACTAGGGAAGCCTTAAGAACCTGTCATGCTGGAGTTCCTTCCTGGAAAATCCAGGAAGAGCATCTCCATGTATGAGCATTTTGGTTTCTCATTCTCAAAATAATTCTGTTGGTAAAGATTTGCCTTTTAGCTGTTTATAAATGCCCATTGGGCATTTACTTTCGTCATTTCTTCCTGTCACTGAGGTAAGGAGTCAGCCTGCTCCCAGAGAGTATCTCAGGGAGCACTTGATAATTACTGCATGAGTTTGAGAGCTTGCTATCTGAGTCAGCTCTAAATAGAACATGACAATTTATCAATATATTTTGTAGTACATTATATAAGCAGAGGATTAATGCCTTAATTGCTATTTTGAAAGTACATTTTACTGCTGGATGGTGAGTAAGCTTTACTCCACAGAAGAATAAAGTATTACTGGACTAAACTACTAAAGATCTTTATTCCCAAGAGGTCCAAGTAGCAGTGCCATTCTAGCAGAGCTGTTCAGTAAGTCCCTGCTGACCATTTGCCTTAGGAATTCGGCTCTCTCCATTAAGAGTTTTAGAATGTTTTCTTAATGATACTGTTTCTCTTTGGTTCTCCCATAGCTCAAGACATGGCTGCCCAGTGTGTCACAAAGGTGGAACTAAATGTTTCCTGTAACCACCTTTTGGATGCAGATGTAACATCAAAGTCGGACCCTTTATGTGTATTGTTTTTGAACACGAGTGGTCAACAGTGGTATGAGGTAATCCTGAATAATTTGGGTGAAAATTGGCCCATATTTCTTTTGACAATGTTAAGAGTCTATGTTAAAATGTTAAAAATAATACCACAAGACTGACGAGATAGCTTAAGAGCTCTGGCTGGTATTCCAGACAACCTTGGATCTATTCCCAGCATCACATGGTGGATCAACCACCTATAATTCTAGTTCCAGGGTATCTAACACTCTCTGCTGACTTGCAGGCACAGTACCCTTGTAATACCCAGATGTATGTGCAGGGGAAGCAGCATACACATTAACAGCAGCAGCACTGGACCATCTCATCTGTTAGTGCATTTTTTTTTTACATATTTGTCTTTGATAGCACAGTTCTTTCATGTACATAGAGAAATTTCCAAAAGATCATTGATAAGTAGGCCAATGAGATGGCTAAGTTTAATTTCCAGAACCCATGTAGCAGAAGGAGAGAACTGACTTTTCAGTTGTCTGTTGACCTCCACATACATGTCATAGTACTGTGCACCTCACATATACATACATTTTAAGACATTTAGTCTTCAGGCTTATGTGTAATTATATTTAGTACATAGAGATGCTAAAAATCTGTACTTCTTGGATCTGAAAAAAATCTCTTATTTTTTTTTTTTTTTTGTGGGGGGGATGAGTATAGGTTGAACGGACAGAAAGGATTAAGAATTCTTTGAATCCCAAATTTTCTAAGACATTTGTTATTGACTACTACTTTGAAGTGGTTCAGAAGTTGAAGTTCGGAATCTATGACATCGACAACAAAACTATCGAGCTGAGCGACGATGACTTCTTGGGAGAATGTGAAGTCACTCTTGGACAAGTGAGTGTGCAGTTCTGTTGCCGTCTGTTTTGGTTTGTTCAGAATGTTTGTTGATATAGCATCTCACTACTTAGCAGTGGTTGACGTCCTCATTGCTGAATCACCCAGTCTGGCTTTAAACTTACGCTAACCCTTCAGCTGCTGTTTTCCAGAGTGCTACGATTACTGGTATGTGCTGTTACACCCAGCTATTTTGTATAGATTTTAAACCAAAAAGTTGTGTGTTTCTGATAAACATTCTGTCATAGAAAGTGTGCTTTTGCTGTGAAGAGACGTCATGAGCACAGCAGCTGTTGTAAAGGAAAGCATAATTGGGCCTGGCTTACAGTTTAGAGCATCAGTCCATCATTTTCATGATGGTGTCACGCAGACAGACACAGTACTGAGAGTTAAACATCGGGATCCACAGGCAGCAGGAAGAGAGAGACACTTGGCCTGGCTTGAGCATTTGAAACCTCAAAACCCACCTCTCCTAGTAACACACTTCCTCTAACAAGACCGCACTTTGTAGTCCCTGTCAAGGAGCATCACTCCCTAATGAAACCACCACAAGTTCTTAGTATAAATTTTTAGTTGGTAACCCTGTAATAGCCCTCTTAGACATCAGTTGCATTAGGTCAGTGTACTTTCTAGGTTAACCCCAGTGAGATTCTAGGACAGTAGTTCTCAACCTTTCTAATGCTGTAACACTTTAATATAACCCCTCATGTAGTGACTTCCAATGGTAAAATTATTTTTATTGCTACTTTGTAACTGTAATTTTGCAATGTCCTGAATATAATGCAAATATCTGTGTTTTCTTATGGTCTTAGTTGACCCCGTAAAAGGGTCCTGTGACTCCCAGAGGGGTTACAACCCAAGGTTGACAACCACTATTCTAGGGTTGTTCTGTAGAGAGGCCCTTCAGCTTTGGTTTAGGCTCTCTCCTTTTAAATGCATTTGAATTTTCAAAAGATCATTTGGGTCTTGGTGGGCAATTTTTTTCTTTATACCACTGCAAAGCAAATGATTTCTGGTTAACAATACTGATATCTTTAGACAGTTATGCCTGCTTTCTCAGCATTTTCATAACCTGTAACATTAAATTTTCATTTTTCCTTGATGTGTTTTTTTAAACATTTTTCCTTGTTGCCAGTTGTTTTTTCCTACTGTAGACCTACCTGGGTCAGAGCAGTGAGCGGTAACCATCACACAGCCTGGGTGCTCGGTCTTGAGATTTTTCTCCACCAAACATATTAGACTATTACTTTTGAGTTCAGCCTCACCCTGTCTCATGGCATGGGCAAACTGTGGCCAGATTCTTTGCTAAAATATACCATCACTAGCCTTTAGCCCCAATTGTGAGAGTCTTTGTTCACCTCTGAAACCTCACGATCCAAGTCTGTACTGTTCACATAGCACAGCATTCTGGCATTCTACATTGCCACCAGTTGACCCACTGAGTATTGCTTTTAGGATTCTAGGGTTTTTCTAGCACTCTTTTTACAGTTCCAAACTCTTTTACATTCCAAACTCTTTTTACAGTTCTCCCACAAACTAGTTCCAAAGACTTTAGGAACACAGGGCCAGGCTTATCCCTGCAGCAGCCCTTCTTAGTCACCATTGTGCTGTGTTAGCTAGTGTCTCATGGCAGTCATGAAATATCTGACAAAGGACCTAAGGAAGAATGGGTTCATTTTTCTTCAGGCAGGGTTTATTTTGTAGCTCCTGGTTTGAGCCAGGGTGGGTCATTCACCGTGTAGCTCCTTTTTGGAGTGAAGGTGATAAGATCTTTGAAGATCCTTCATGAGATAAATAGGTTTTTTGTGCTATTACCTTTTCTCATTGCTGTGACTAAATGCCCAACAAAAGCAGCTTAAAGAAAGATTTATTTTGGCTCACAGTTTGAGGTTGTAGTCCATCATGGAGGGAGGCATGACAGGCGGGTTTCAGCTCAGTGTTTGTGTAAGAGATGAAATTCTGGACTTTTTCCCATTCTGAGGAAGGAGCTAACATTTCAGGTAATGAACAGCCTAATGCATAAACAGATAATATCTGCCAGACTGAAGGCTTTGGAAACCTTTTCAAATGGGTTGTAAATGTGGAGATACATTTTAAATGTCTTTAAGGGATACAGTTTTAATGTCCCTCTAATGATTTTAAGTGAACTTTATATTCTACTTCTTTTTTTTTTTTTTAAGTATTCAGTTCATTAACTCAAGTGATGAAGTATTACTTTTCACCTTTGACAGATTGTTTCCAGTAAGAAGCTAACTCGACCACTGGTGCTCAAAAATGGGAGACCTGCAGGGAAAGGGAGTATTACGGTAAAGAAAATATCTTTTGCTTCAAGAAGTAGTCTCTTAAGTCTAATAAGCAAATAATCTATAGCCATGTCTGATCAGTTGATCTTGAACATTGCATTCCATTCAATCTTGCCTGTCATCACTAATGGAAACTTCAATGCTAACAAAAGACAACAATGAATTGTAGGAATTCCTTCAGTTGTTTTAAGTTGTCCATCAAGGTCAGGTGTGCCTCTTCCATGAATGTGTCAGTTCCTAAATTAGAGAAGAAAGGTTTAGTACTGAGTTAGGTTGGTTCTCTATATGGGATATGTGGTCCTCTTACCGCATGAAACCTTTCCATGGTGGGTCTTATTCTAAATGGATATTATAATACAACTATTGAACTATAAACTAGTATCCTGGCCTGGTGGTGTATTCCTGTTATTCTAGCACTCGGGAGCCTGAGGCAAGAGAATCACCAAAAGTTCAAGGCCAGCCTGGTCTATTCAGTGAGTTCCTGATTAGCTAGAGCTAAATGATGATGCTGTGTCTCAGAAGTAAAAAAGGGGGTGGGGGGAGGAAAAACAAAACAAACAAAGAAATCAGAACCAAACAAAAAGTTATAGAAACTCTGTATCCTGGCTTCTTGTCTTTTTATCTTCTGCATATCATCAAATGCAGGGTTTCCATGGCTCATTACTTAGCTATGAGCAAAGAATATATATGCTTTGCCATACTTTAAATTTACAGTTAGTATGATAACAAGCTTTTAGATACCTTTTCTTGTAGTGTTTCCTTCATCAGTGATAGTATTCTAACTAGTTTTCTGTGATACGGAAGCCTGGTTATAACAATTATCAGGTATATTTTTTCAGCAGCTACTTGTCTCCATCTTAGATTTCCAGGAGCACAAGAATATTTAGACTTTTGAGAGTGTTGACTTTTGCACTCCAGTGAACTTTATCAATAGCCTAGGATTTGACTTAGAGTAGAGTGGCTCTTGGCAGTTACACCAGACGAAAAGTAATGGGCTCATATTTTACTTTAGAGTTCTATGGTTAGGATTTATTTATTCTTCCTTCTCAATGTGTGCGGATTTTTAGCTGGTTTTGAATAAAGGACATCTGTCCTTCAGTCTTCTGGTACTTTGTTCTATGGAGAGGATTATGTAGTTTTTTTTCTGGTCATTACTTTTATCCTTGAACATTCTTGACCATATTCACAGGGGAAATATGTTTACAAACACGTTGTATAATAAGCACTGCATACCTCACCCCTCCTATACACACATGTGAAACTTGGCTTTCTAAGGAACCACACTTAAAAACACTTTTGTCAATGGATGATGCTTGCCTAACTTGTGCCACATCCTGGAGTCAATGCCAAACTGCAATACAATAAAAAGAACATGCTTAGTTCATATGTATTCATTTTCTTTCACCTTCTTTATATACTTGTAGATTTTAGCAGAAGAAATAAAAGATAACAGAGTGGTATTGTTTGAAATGGAAGCCAGAAAACTGGATAATAAGGTAGGTACATTTTGTGTATTGTGTAAGGAAAGGATCCCCTTTGAGGCATTAACAACACAGTTAGCATGAACTGTTCATCTGAGCAGAGCATCCTTCCTCCCTCCCTCCCCCTCCCTTTCTGCTTCTCCCTCACTCCTCCTCTGACTATCCTTAAACAGCACCCATTTCCCTTCAGCTTTTTCCTGAAGATGAAATTAAAGATTAAAAGAATACAAGCATTAACATTACAGTAAAGTTTAAGAAAGTACTTTAGTAACCTTTAGGGGAAAAGCAAAATGCCTGTGGTTTATTAATTATAAAATCAGTTGATGCTTTTGCATTTCTTTCTTTTTTTTTTTTTGTTTTGTTTTGTTTTGTTTTTCGAGACAGGGTTTCTCTGTGTTGCCCTGGCTGATCTGGAACTCACTCTGTAGACCAGGCTGGCCTCGAACTCAGAAATCTGCCTGCCTCTGCCTCCCAAGTGCTGGAACTAAAGGCGTGCGCCACCACTGCCCGGTGCTTTTGCATTTCTGTACTTGAATACATATCAGTATACAGTGTTCTTTACCAGTTTTGTTTACTTTAAAACTTAACTTGAAAGTGTCTTAAAAGACTAGTTTCCAGAGGCTTTAAAAATTAACATATGTACATAAATACAATAGCACTTTTTAAAATATTATATTGCCATTTGTGGTGATACACACCATCAATCCAAGTATGTGGGAGACAAGGGCAAGAAGATCTCTAAGAGTTCTGGTCAGCCTGGTCTACAAAGTGAGTTCCAGACCAGCCACAACACATAGCAACAATGGTATACTGTCTCAAGAAAACGGAACAAAATGAAAAAACAAACAAACAAAAATCATCCAAGAAATACTGTGTTCTATCACCCATCTCTAACAGTTATGATTCATGGTGAATCTATATCCACTATGTTTTTCTATGTCCACTTTCCCTCTTCCCAGATACTATGTCATCTTGCACACAAATATTTTGAGATGTTTCTAAAGACCCTTTAAAGTGTAATTATTTAAATTGCCTCTTAAGATAATTTTTGATGTATAAATTCTTCTTTGTCATGTCTTTCTTGCCATCTGTCACTCACTCTCTCCTTTCTTCCTTCCCCACCCCTCGTCCATTCACTTGTCTATCTGTACATTTAGGGAACAGGTTCCTCTGTCCTGTAGAAGTTTGTACATTCAGCATGTAGCTAATAAATCCCTGTGGTGTCATTTCTCTTGCTTTATTTCCTGTTCCCTGACTACAGTAAGCGGATCTGATGGTACTTTAAAGTATTGTCAAACAGTTTGAACAGTTGTGGTGTGTAACTCTATCAGGGGCTTAATACTGTGTTGTGTTTTGGTAATTTACATTGATGATAGCTATCTGTATATGTTATATTCTTGCAGGTCTACGAAACAATGATATTCTTAGTAAGAAATGCTTCTATTAGAGATATGTTTCCCCAAACTAAATCAATCAATAGCTTACTCGCTCTCTCTCTCTCTCTCTCTCTCTCTCTCTCTCTCACCCCCCCTTGCTCTTGCTCTCTCACTCTCATTTATTTTATTTTATTTTATTTTATTTTATTTTATTTTATTTTATTTTATTTTATTTTATTTTATTTTATTTT